TCCTGTAGTACCTTCAGCCATAGTTGATTCTGATTCCAATTTCTTGGTTTCTTAATCTTTGGTCATGTCACACAGTATGTTCTGTCTATTAGTCAATATCTTCCAAAAACCTGTTTATCAGGCAAGCTCTAGATAAGAGGCATTCAAATCTAAGCTCCCTAACCTTATTCCTAAATAAAAAAAACTGATTAGTACTGTGTTCCTAGTCCATAAGATCTTACCTTGAAATAGTGTATTGCTTCATGTGTCTCAGAATTTGTTTTTCTCTTCCTTGGCAGTCACCAAATCACCGCATTATCATCTTCAGGTCTCAGCTTGGTCACCAAATGGAGTGGGGTATGATGGGATGCCTTGTCAAAGTAGGCAAGTTGGTTGATATGGTGAGAGCACAAGAAAGGTGAAAAATCACCACATAGTAAGGGTATGGTCAAGTAGTAAGTGTAGAGATAGATATGTTCTAACAGATGCCTAAGCTTGCAAGAAGTAATAGTACTAAAGAGCCCCATACTAACACAGGTAGCTCTAATGAGGAACAGTAGCAAGTTTCATGAACAAGAAATCTTCATATTCACTAACTAATAACCAAACTGGTAGTAAGGAATGAGTGTGTAGAAAAGAGCCATGGTGTGTGAAGGTAATAAGCAAGATGCAGGGGCTACAGGTGGTTTATATAGCTCAAGGATAGTAGCTTTGGGGTGGTTTGTGCCTCAGACTGGAACAATCTTTGTCCTAATGAGGTACCGGAATCCCCACTACAATACAATGTATACCAAAGACAATGAAAGAAAATTTGGTATTAGGTGGACCAATGTCATTTGCAAACCTGGCAATGTCTGAATTACAAGCCCTCTGCTACCCCATGGAGCTCATGGTCCATGCAAAAAGATCTGATGCACTATGCTACCCTGGTATGTGGTAATTCAAGAGAACCATGAACATCTAGAAGTCAATGAAGCTGGTACATGGTCCCAGCTCTCTGCTGCATATAGAGATCTAGTTCCAGGGCCTTTGTCTCCATCCAGCTATTCAAATTGTTACACATTGGTTCCATATTGATTCCCTACTGCTATTCAATTACAAGACTTAGGAGCTATATCAGATACCCTGGTAGGACAAATTAGATGGGACAACCCCATGATAATTGAGGAACTCAATATTCTCTTTGGCCCTGATGACAAAAAGGCTCAGGACTTCATTAATAACTGATACCTAAAGGCCATGTGAATTGCTCTGGATGCCATTATCAAGACTTACCAAATTGAAAAGAAAGCTTTTGGTAATAAATTCTATTGGCATTGTGTGCACAACAACATTGACCCAGTGTCAGTTCAGCCTTCTCCTCCTCCTGAGAACTTGGTGGAAGAAGAGAATCATGGTGATCACTATTAGAGATTGCTGCTATCACTCTTCTTATTCTTATTTTCTATGTTTTTCCTTACCAGACTGCTCATTACTATTTATTATTCTCTTATTTTACTAAATTGGTTTTGTTTTATTTTATATGTTGTTTGTTGTCAGGGGACACCAACATTGAAGGCCAGGAAGAAATGTAGTGGGAATTCTGGTATCTCATTAGAACAAAGATTGTTCTGGTCTGAGATACAAACCACCTCAAAGCTACTATCCTTAAGCTATATAAACCATCTGTAGCCCCTGCATCTTGCTTATTACCTTCATGCACCATGGCTCTTTTCTACACACTTGTTCCTTACTACCAGTTTGGTTATTAGTTAGTGAATATGAAGATTTCTTGTTCATAAAACTTGCTACTGTTTCTCATTAGAACTGCCTGTATTAGTATGGGGCTCTTTAGTACTATTACTCCTTGCAAGCTTAGGCATCTGTTAGAACATATCTATCTCTACACTTACTACTTGACCATACTCTTACTATGTGGTGATTTTTTACCTTTCTTGTGCTCTCACCATATCAACCAACTCGCCTACTTTGATGAGGCATCCCATTGTACCCCGCTCCACTATCAGTGCTTTAAGCACTTCTATATGCTTGTAATTTGATAATTTATTTAATTACTTGCAATTGCAGTTATTGATGCTGGCTAATTATTTAACTACTACTTATAAAGTAGTTGAAGCAGAAAATTAATTAATATAATCTTGAGCTCTCAAACATCTACAACTTTAATGAAAAAGAATTTCTTCTAGACTTCTGTCATGTCTTAAAGTAATTAGTCTCTATTGAAGTTCTACAAGCTGGAAAGAATGCCATTATTCAGAATAATAGTCAGAAATTTCTCTTATTGCTCTGCTCAGTCTCTGCTGAAGAAATTGCACTATCTCCAGCTCTTATTTATCAGAGCAAATCACAAGATCTCCAGAATATATGACTAGATGATTATAATGAAAGTAAATGAGTCTACTTTGCAGCTTTAATAAATGGTTGGAGTAATGATAAATATGGACTGAAGTGATTGAAACAGGTTTTCAATCAGTATACTAAGAAACAAGCTGATCAAGAAAGACATCTGCTTCTACTAGATGGTCATTTCTCCCATATAAATATGAAATTTATTGAATATGCTGATTATAAAAAGATTCTTCTTATGATTCTTCCACCACATTCAACCCACTGTTTGTAATCTCTTGATATTGGAATCTTTGGACTGCTGGATAAGACATATTTCAATAAGCTGGAAGCACTACTATATCAAGAAATAAGCTATATTCAAATGACAAAAAGAGATTTCTGAAAACTATTCAATATGGCTTGGAAGAAGACTTTAACAGTTGAAAATATACTTGCTGGCTTTGCAAAGACTGGAATTAATTCTCTGAATTCTCAATATTAACTACACTAATTTGAAACTACTCAAGTCTCTACATTATCAGTTAAATCTTCTATTTTTAGTAATATGCACCAGCTCTAACAAGAGATCAAGAGTATATATCTTCAGTACAGCCTAAATTCACAGAGCATTGGACAGATTATTCAAGCCAGTGAGCAGTTTGCTCTTTATAATGAACTGCTGAAACATGAGAATCAGCAGCTAAGATTAATTCTAGTGATGAAGAAGCAACACCACAAGCAAGGCAAGTCTCTAGATTTACTTAATAGAAATAATTCTAGTCAAGCACAGTTCTGATCTCCAATAAAAGTTCTTAAGGCATGTGAGTGCTTGAATGAAATAGAGACTGAAAAAGTTAATAAAATTGCTCAAATACAAGAGACAAAACTTTAATGAGAGCTTCAAAAGAAGTAGACTGCTAGAGATATTGAAAAAAAATAAATTAAACAGAAGAATGTCTGTAAAAAGATCTGGAAGTAATAAGAGACTAAAAAAATTAAATATGCTAGACAAAGAGAGACATAATATATTGCTTGTGAGAAGAAGAAGACTTTACAACTAGCAGAGAAGAAAAAACAGACAGTTGAACATACTAATAAATATCAGTAGTCAGAGCTTCAAGCACCAGCTTTAAAGTGCTGTTGGAAGAACTCCTCTACTAAAGAGTCTTATTGTGGAGAGTCTATACAATCTTTCAAAAGAGAAAGTAAGAGCTCTACAAGCATCTCTAGCAAGACATTAGACTCTCTAGCTGAGAAATCTACTGTTGACATTTCTTTAAATTCTTTTCTATCTACCCCCCAAATCTCTCACTCTAGCTGTAATATTAGGCCATCCACCTGTTTATTTTCCTAACTATACTAATTTCTATGCTTTAAAGAATACATTTATTTAATATTTAATAGCTATTTAATAATAAAGATCTGGTTGTTGAGATATTTAATAAATTTGCTGCGTGGAGCATTTGGCGAAATTTGGCTTGTTTAGTGGTGTGGCTTGTTTAGTGGTGTGGCTTGTTTAGTGGTGTGGCTTGTTTAGTGGTGTGGCTTGTTTAGTGGTGTGGCTTGTTTAGTGGTGAACTACCTTATATGGTACCTTAGAATCTACCATTTATTACCAATATCCTTTGGGAAACGATAACTATACCTGATATAAGCATTGTCAGAACCATAGATCTCTTGGATCCCGCCTCCTTGTATTATCCCGTATGGTATCCTTTCCATAGTTTAATTGCTCACCGTGAATTGAGTTTTACGACAGCATAACTCACCTCTCGACCCACAAGAAGGGCAGCACCGCATTAAGGTGTCGACAGGTGGCATGGTAGTTACGCTGTACCATTCTGCAGTCTTACCAACAAAAGTGCGATAAAACTTTTTGTCCAGCAAATGTCAATGCAGTATGAGAAATATTTGCTGGACTTGTTGCACAATGCTAGGTATAAGAGCCGTCAGCTCAGATTCTCCAGGCTTTCTCGTATACACAGATTCCAATGGTCGGTTATGGCTATACATGCTACGCGCTTTGCAGATACAACTCGGAAATATGCTCTAGATTCATCAAATTAATAAATAATGCACAAGCATGCATTAGACCCTCTGTGGGATAATTAGATATATGAATAGGTTGTCGTCATTAGGTTTCAGAATCCATCTATTGCACTGAATTGGAAACAAGCCTGAATGTGGCGCCTGGACTCGCGCGAACAAGCGAGTTATTGCCGCCATTCATATCTGCAGTTTTATCAATTCTAGGCACCACAGGGGCCATTTAATAACAATGTGAGAATCACGTCCTACTAATGTTTGTGTGACATGAGATGAGCTGGGGCATCTTTTCCCTTTGTGGATGAGGTTGTTACTACAGATGCATGTGGTCTACCAGAAAGCACAATGAAAATCGCGCAATGAAGGCCCGTGGGAAGTTGAGGCGTAATAATCTGACACGGTTCTGGTGGATGCTGTATCCATTGGCCATACGCCATGCAATTTAGTTGACTTGGTTCAGAAAGCTGGTTAGGATAAATTGGAGATAAGTTGTGGAAAATATATAAAGCTGTAGTCATTATCTCCGATTCCTAGCTATGTGTTAATCGTCCGCTCGCTTCACATACTCACAGCCCAATAGCTGTTATACCATAGACTCTCCTGCCAACGGCATTAGGCCTCAGCTCTATAAAGACCTTTCCTACACCATGGTGAAGCTCGCGCTCAGTGCCGTGGCCCTTTCTCCCCTGCTTGCCGTAGGACGGGTAGTCGCAGTCCCAGTGGAAGATGTGATTGGCCGTGACTTGAGCACGGTATGTGCATTCATATTCCAGGCTCGTGTCGAGATAATTCCATAGTAATTCACGAAATCGATGTCCAGGACGCGATCGATAAGTCCACGGACGTTCAAGGTACAGACATCTCTCTTTCTCTCTCCACTCTGGATGCCAGCGCTGGTGCTAATACTCCCCTCGTAGCCAACTCCTCCCTTGATATCCGTGATGCGGCTTTTAAAAACACCTGCTACCACCCAAGTACCGATGTCTCTGTCGGCACTATTGGCGGGGCTGTCGCGTGTTCCAAGTTCCTAAAAGGTCTTGATACGAGACAATGTCATGCCAAGCGAGGCGGCCTCGTGTTGTGTGAGGAGCAAGGGACGGTCATCACGGCTTATGCCAAAGATACTTCAGTCTCATCGTGGTGTAAGCACGTTGCGGCTGGGATCGATTGGATGGTGGAACACTGCGCTACCTGCAAAGGGGATGACTGCAAAATTGCCGGTATGTTGTAGCTCCGTTTTGGATCATATTTTGCTTCAACTTGTGCTCTACGCGGCGTGAGATGTAGGGAATACCTAACCGGTTTTCTGGTATAAAATAGGCATGGCGGCGGCTTATGGGAACGGAGACTATCGCATCAGACTCTCGGGTTAGTAACGCGGCTTGTCTTTTAAGAGGAGGAGTGAGGCGGATTGTGTAATGAGGTACAAGCTGGGCCATTTAAAGTATAGATAGAGGCCGAAGGAGGTAGCAGGATTGACTAAATGGCTGCTATCTCAACCATTTTCTTCCCTTCTTTGGAGAGCAGTCGATGAAAGGTTACATTTAGGCAGTTCAGCCCTGTGGGGTCTCATTTGCCTGTAGTTAAGCTTTTGGCGACAGGAGCCTTGGCTGAGCTTGATGCGACATACCGACGATCACTTTGTTACCAGAGCTGGATGCTCGGCTGGCACGTTTTCACACCATCGGCCAATGGCAAAAGAGTACCCTTAGGATCTCACACCCACAGGCATTCCAGCGATGCCAAGATTGGATCCCCGAAGGGAAGATTGTCCAACGTGTTGCATGTCCGACTGACCATGCTAAGGCTATTACAAAAGATATGATGTGTCGATATTGTGAATGCATCGTCTCGAATCCGAGTCAGGACAACTTTTCAAAACTTATTGCACCAATAGTTGGCTTACCGACACCACATGGCCCGTGGTCAACTCGATCTGGGTCGCATTTAAATCGAGAACGGCACCAGATAGTGTGTGCTGAATGTAACAGGGGGGGTTTCCATAGAAGGGGCTGGCTGCCTTTGGGCCCTTGGACACTTGCACAAAAACAGGAGCCACTTGGATTTTGTCCTCTTCATCAGTTTATTTTTTATTTTTTATTTTTTTTTTTTCGCCCCTTTCACATGCTGGACTCGTGAGTATCCCCGATTCTTTGCAAAGATGGATGAAACAAACACGGTGCACTTATGATTCCTTTGCTCCATATTAAATCCATACATCCATCTCAGGCTGTATAAGAGCATAGAGAAATCAAGACGCAATGACACATTCACATCTCCTCCACCTTGATCTCCATCTTCGCCTCCATCCTCCCCTTGGGGCCACTTCCATTCCTCCCCCCTTTAATCTCCGCCCTACACAACCCAGTCCCAGCCAACACACACTCCCAACACCGTCTCCCAACAGGCAAACACACGGTCTGCCCCAACCCCACCAGCAACCAGTTAATCTCCCTCCACTTCTCCCTCGGCAGCCACGCCTCAAGCAACACCCGCGTCTCCTCTGGTGTCTTGGTCCGCACCCACCCCCACAGATTCGTTATCCGGTGAACGTGCACATCCACACCGATCCCGTCATCCACGCCCCATGCGGAACTCATGCACAGATAGGCCATCTTGGGCCCCACGCCGGGCAAGGCCATTAAGTCAGCTGCCGTGCGTGGGATATCGGAGTTGTAGTGGGACTGGAGGATGGAAGCGGTGGAGCGGAGGTATTTGGTCTTGAGGTTGTGGAAGCCAACCGTTTGGATGAGCTGGTTGAGGCGGGTGGCGGAGACGCGGAGGATGTTGGAGATCGTGAGGGTTGAGTGGCCGGCGGAGTGAGTCGTGGTGTCCCACCGGACCGCGGGCTTTTTACTCGCATCAGCGCCGTCTTCGTTGTTGTCATCGTGCTCTCGGTCGAGCTCTGTGTGTAGGCGATGCATTGCGACGGCTGTTACGGTGTCTTTTGTTTGGGATGAGAGCATCAGGGCGACCAAGATGTGAAAGCGCCTCTCTTGCTCGGTGGAATTACGCCAGTATAACTCCGCGCAGCCCATGGTGTCAACGGGCGCAGTCGGGTTGCGAAGACGCATATCCTTGATGAGATCGTACATCTTCTCCCAGTTTGGCGGTGGAGCAACGGATCCCGGTGGAGGAGGGGGTTTGCGGGATTTCGTCGCCTTTTTCTTTGGTAGGGGAGTCGGCACCTCTACCTTTACATCCTCTTCTTCTTCCACGATGACTTTTCGAGGTTTTCGCGATCGCGATCTGGGAGACGAACGTTCAGCTTTAGTGGCTACGGCATCTGCTGCAACGACAGAGGCTCGCTTCCGCTTTCTCGAGCTTGGTGGCGGGCTGGGTTCCGGTTTCAAGAGGTCTTCGATGTCGGTCGTATTTGCTTCAGACAGAACGGAGCTATCGTCACAGCCATCTTGACTTCCGCTCTCCTGTTTGATGGCTGCATTGCTGTCTCCTACTTCGTGTTTCACATGAATTGCGCTTGCAACAGTTTTCGATCTTGTTTGCCTCGAGTTACCAAAGTAACTGGACGTAGCCGCGGTGCGCCGGGTGACTCGACGGGTTGACGATACCGCGTCGACCAGCTTCGACGCTTCCTTTGAGATTAAGGAGGTACGCATTGAGAAGGATATCCCGTCCTGAGCGAAAACATGCGGGGATGTTTTCCACTTGCGTCTCCGTCTTTCGTCTTCCGTCTTCGGTTGCCCCGGGATGTTCGTCGCCGTTCGAAAGCTTCCACAGGGGGTGAAAATGCACAGCCACACAGAGACGGGGAGCTCCAGCCACACCCCTGCCCGCCCACGTGTGCCAAGACCCTACGGGCCTCGGGACCAAACAAACAAAGTGCTGTAGCTCCTTCCCTCGAGAAAGTGCCTTTTGTTAACCCCGTACCTACCATCTTCGAAAGAACACAAAGGAAATAGAAGGAAAACAAAAACCAAAAAAAAAAAAAACTTCCCTGTGATGGCTTCGGCAAGCACGACCAAGCGGCTCCTCCGCGAGCTGGCCGAGTACCGGGCAAACCCCAACCAGGCGCTGCTGCACCTCGGTCCCGTCACCGACGACGACCTCCTGCGCTGGGAGGCAGTCCTCAAGGGCGTCCCCGGCACTCCCTACGAAAGTACGCGCCCTCCCCCCTCCCGCATCCCTTCACTCCCCTCTACCCGACTTCCAACACCACCCTTTACTTACTAACCGTGGACAAAACCAGACGGCCTCTGGTCCCTCTCCATCGCCATCCCACCCACCTACCCTCTCTCCCCGCCCAAGATCTCCTTCACAACCCGCATCTGCCACCCCAACATCTCGTTCTCCACCGGCGAAATCTGCCTGTCCCTGCTCACCTCCGAGCACTGGGCGCCCACGTACACCCTCAGCTCCACCCTCGCCGCCATCCACCAGCTGCTCAGCGATCCGCGCCCGGAGAGCCCGCTGAACGTGGACGTTGCCGCCCTGCTGAGGGAGGGCGATCTGCTGGGCTGGGAGAGCCTGGTCAGGTATTGGACGGGCCAGGAAAGGTGGGAAGGGCATGAGAAGGCGAGGAGTGGGGTGAGGGTGAGGTGATGTCGTGGAGGACAGGTGTAGTTATATTGTCAATATTGGCGAGATCTGTCTTTTTACAGTTGAATAGACGTGTGTGTGAGTGAGTGTGATGGGGGGTTATTGTGCGATGGCGTTTTGGGAACATGTTGGGATTGCTCTTCGGATGTAACATCTGATATATACCACCTTTCTTGTACAGAGTAATAATGATATAAATTAGAATCTGTGAAACCTCTTTGCATCCACAGCATCATCTTACAGTTCCAAATGAACGTGTTACTGCGTACAGACTATTTGATAATGATTGTTAGGGAATAAAAAAAAAATTTTTTCTTCGCAGATTTCATTCTTAGTGTTGTTGTCTAGTCTTGTCTAGGTAGCTTAAGGAGAGAGCATACCCCATTCCCTTTAAAAAAAGAAAAGATGTACATGGAAATAGAGCATAAAAGACAGTCTGCCACCCAACAGTCATTTTCAAGGGAGAAAATGTCCATAATTATTGCTGCTTGGGCTGTTTGAACCCGAAATAGAGGGGGAAAAAAAAAAAAAAGGAAACATAACGCCATTGAAATGCACTAACCCCGCTCACATACATAAATCGACTAGTATCACGCTTGATAGCGAGTGAGAGAGGGAAAAGGGAAAGGGTGTAGTTTTAGCTCAATCTCATAATTAGAGGGCAAAGGCAACACCGATGGCTCCAAGCAGTGCGAGCATCTCTTTCTTCATCGTAGCGGGAGCAGAGGCACCGTTCTGCAGAGAAGGGTTGGACTGGCTTGGTTCTGGGGAGTTTCCGTTCGAATTGCTTCGAGTTGGCTGGACCAGGACAACCGAGGTGTAGGTGACAAGGCCACCGTCTTCATTGGTGGTGGTGCCGATGACGGTGGAGCTGATGGGAGGAGCAGAAGTGGTCTCTTCTGGTGGCTTAGTGGTGGTCTGATCCGGGGTCTCACTGGACTTGGTGGACTCAGTTTCCGAAGTGGGCGAAGCGGTCGTCCGGGTCGGGGTGGTTGGGGACGGGGAGGTCTCCGGGGGGGATGAAGTGTCGGGAATCTCGGTGGACGGAGTTTCCGAACTGGGAGGAGGTGTGGATGCATCGGAGGTTGTCTCCGGGGAAGAGGATGGCGGCGGAGTAGTCGGAGTCACAGATGGGGTGGAATTGGTGACAGCTCCGCTGCCTCCCTGTCGCTTGATCAATTGATATCGAGGGTCGTTCTGAGGAGGAACACCGAGATCGTGTTTGATGTCGACGGACCGCTCTGAGACAGAATTCCAGAATTTGAAGGAGAGAGCGTGGAAGGCAGCTGCCACAGTGCGGTCGTCATAGCTGTCTCGTTCCTGGTGGAATGGACGTCGATGGATGGGCTCAGATTGGACTTGGATGGAGCAGGCAAGGATGAGCAGGACGCAGATCGCGCGACGACCGAGAGAATGGAGCATTGTGGGCGTCTTTGATGGCTAGGCGGCCCAAAATAGCGATAGAGACGCTCGATGGAGGGTGTGTGAGAGAGAGAGCGAGAGAGAGAGAGCAGCAGAGCGAGGGAACTGCAGCCAAGGACAGGCGAGAAAAGTGCTCTCCAGAAGGCGAAAAGTGAAGTTGGAGAGAGGGGACGGAGAGGGCGAAGCAGAATGAAGTGAATTGAAGTGCGTGAAGGCAGCAAGCCGCACAGAATAAATACAGCGGATTACGTGAAACGAGCAAGAGCCGCAGCGGTACAATGCGTGACAACGTCCCTGTAAAGTACCTTCCACTGGCACTGTGTTCCGGGCGTGCAGGTACGCTCTCCCAGGCGACGGCGGGCCTTTTGAAACCCCCCTTGGTGGAGCCGCCGCAAAAAGGGCCGGCGTCGTCAGCATCTTACACCGTCCCGTATTACGGTAAGATACGCCGTAAACACTCGTTTCGTAAGGCTGAAGGTGGGTCTCGGTTATTCTTAGCCAGCCAATCGCCAGACGCCGGATCGCGTGGTCGCCGCTGGTTGGCTGTGTCCGTTTCAAGCCCCACCGCCCTTTTTGGGAGCTGCACCGCCTCAGTCCGAGCCAGCAACTCCAATTCCGACCAGGAACAAAGAGCTCCCCGGGTTGAGGCACCGTGCTTCAATTGCAGGACTCGCAAGCCATCCCGCTGCTAAAGACTGGGTTACTGTATCAGCTTAGCTACGGGGCCTTTCTCCAGGAAGGGCGCAACGCCTAATTTTGGGAGTGAAATTCCCGCAAAGACACAAAAGGCATTGCTGCGAGACATCGAGTTGCAAGGATGCAGAATTCGTGGTTTGTTATGATGAAAATGGAAGAAAATCTCCGCAATGATGCAATCCCCGAGAGAGAGATGCCGGTCGAAGCTTCAGCTGGAAAGTGAAGAGAAAGCAGGGAAAGCAGGGAACCAAGGAAGAATCGGCAAAAAAAAAGCAAACCAAATTTACGGTCAATTGTTGGCCAAAGTGGAGTCGTACTATCGCTAGTTCTTATCTCGTTATTTATCCTCTCGGGGAAAACCATGTCCGACTCTCCCTTTGATGTGTGCTCCGGACTGGCTCTGCATTCAGGGGCCTTCAAAATCTACGACGGAGGAAAAGCCGGACTTTCACCACAGCAACCGTGTCCTTGCCAGACAATGAGAGCTGCACGCCGTGATCCAAAAAAAAAAAAAAAAAAGAAAAAGAAAAGAAAAGAAAAAGAAAAGAAAAAGAAAAGAAAAAAAAAGAGCGCAGCCAATTTGGCCTGCGATGTTGCCCTTCGCCGTAATACTGTAAGTTATGCACGAGTAACGTGCCTGGGCACTTCCATTGTCCTACGAGGAACAGCGCCTGCAGCCTGCATGTCCGGCCTTCCAACTACTGCTTCCAAGGACTTTCAAAGGGCACGTACATGGATGTAAACGCTTATCACTGTGTATGCTGGACCGATGACATTGAACAATCAACGACATCCAACGTCACCTCACCTACCATGAAAAATCTTTGGGTCCTGTAAAGGTTTGCCATGCCCGAAAACGAGCTCAGCCATGACCAAAATGAGACATTGAAGGAAAGTGATACTCAGCATCAACAGCCAGCCAACTTCAAGGCCGGTCCGCGACATCAGCAACAGGGTGCTACATTCGAATCTCCGCCACTCACATCTTTCAATTTCATCTCGCTTCTCAGCCTCCTCTGTTTCTTATTCCTTTCGTTCTGCTTTTCCTTATTTTCTTTTCGCTTCAAATTCCCTGTAGGGGTCGTTGCTGACACTCCGTTCAAGGACGGAGCATGTTAGTGCAGCTTTAGACCAATGGTCGCACACATGGAGATGGGTCCGCGATGATCATCGGCAGTGTTCCTATAAACCATGTGGTTCAAAAGTAGGTTTTTTTTTTTTTTTTTTTTTTTTTTTTTTTTTTTTTTTAAGCTTCATCGAAAATGAAATCTCTTCCCCAGTAGGGGCGCATTGTCGACATGAAAATACAAGTTTGGGTATCTGCCTTGAGAATGATCCCATCACATGTTCAACTTTGTCTCAAGAGCCAGAAGCCGATGCGGAAGACACGTCCACTCCGCCTGGTTGTGGGGATCAAAGGGGGCGTATATGAGAGGTGGAAAAGGCAAAAGTCTGGTTGAAACACCTTGATGACAACGGTTAGCCCATACTTCCCTCTTTTCGAGAGAAGTGAACGCTCAGACGGAATACGCGGTGGGAGACGCCGGCCATCTTTGCAGCGGAGGAGGCCTACCTGCTTGACAACGGTCCTCAAACGGTGCAACCTTTTTCTTCGCCAACACGTGCACCAACAAATCGATGGACGGAAAGACACGTCGAGCGGCAGGATTATGTTGTCAAATATATGTGGTAATCACAATTTGCGGTCTAAAATGAAGACTTTTCCAACTTGGCCACGTTTTTTGCCACACACGGGATTGGGCCGGAAAATCAATGTCAACTCGACGTCCTGGCGTGGCCGACGACCTCAATAATTACCTTTGCTTTCCCTTGTCTTGGGGCTTTGGGACGGGGCTTTCAAGCAAGTGAATCTCACTTGCTTGATTTCACGTTTGCCGCACGATGGCCAGAAGCGCTTCCAGGGCTGTTTGTTATGAGCGGACCCTACTGTCTAGGTCCAGGCGGCTGGCCAATGAAGGCTAGAACGCGCCCTATACGGCGAGTAAATTAAAGTGTACACCGACACTCCTTGGAACCCTCTCGCCGACACAGAAACAAAATTTGCTGACAGCTGTCACGAACATCATCGGAAATGCCGAGCCACCCGGGATTTGTCTCGTCCAGTCGAAAGTTTCACCCAAGAATCTCATGAATCTAAGAGGAGCGTCTGCGTCTTGTGCTGGACGCATGTGCCAACATACCGGCCCGCCGCAGCGACTTGGGATATCCCGCACGCTGTAAACAGCCCCCCTTGGACCGGTGTGTAGTCCAACTGCATTAAGCTTTTTGCGTATGTCGGCGGCTTCCCTTGCAGATGAGAGGTATCATAAATACCACAGTCATACGGAGTACATTGCGCGGATTGTCGATTTCTTAACCGGCCGCATCAGGTGCTCACGCTATTAGCGGGTGTTTCCTATGCACCGTGGTATCCGTGGGTGCCTCGTGCAAATTTGCCCGTCTCGCAATCCCAGTTATGTCTGCCTGCATGAAAAGTGTATGCGGACCCTGTTCGTCATGGTCCAGGCGCGAGTAGGTTTTTCTGCATCATGGGCGCGATTAAAGGAACATGGCGTAAGGTAAGTCCAGCATTCCCTGCACGGATGGATACCGTGCGATTCTCCGTGTTATCGTTAATTCCACCTAGGAGAAATATGAGACTGTGTAGGATCGTCGTCTAATCATTTTATCGTTATTAGTTTGATTTGTCCTTTTTAGACTGTTATAGGACTTCTGAAATAGAGTAAGGATCGCTTTGCATGGGAAAGGAGGTATGTTGGAGATGGTAGTCATCGTGGGCCGGCCTGATTTGTTCTGTGTCATGAATACTCCCTTTTACTGAACGTCGGCTCGCTACACAGTGGGTTTCTTTTTTTTTTTTTTTTGTTTTTTTTTTTTTGGGGGGGGGGGGTATTGTCGTTCTCAAAATGGTTTTCTTAAAGGGGAGTGTCAAATCTGGGTCCACATAAGGCGGTAAGTTAATGCAGTCTCGTGGAAAAGTCAAGCTTCCTGCGCACGCCACGCCCCGAAATAATGCACGCCGGGGACACGGATTCGACGATCAAATGCCAATAGGCGGTCCATGCCTTTCAGCTGCGTCGTCGACCTCCCGTGTGCGCTGGTAGGAAAAAGGAAAACATTAAAGGAACATCACTGTTGGTGGCTTCATAACTTTTTCTCTTCTCTCGCATGGCCCTTCTCAAGGGCCAACCCACTGCAACAGAATACGAGCGAGTTCCTTTCGGTGAATAGGCTTCGCAACGAAGTCGTTCATCCCTTTCGCAAGGTACGTCTCGAAATCTCCCTTGAGAGCGTTACCGGTCACGGCAATAATAGGAACTTCATTTCTCATCTCGCGGATAGCAGCCGTGGCTTCAAGTCCATCCATCACGGGCATACTTACGTCCATAAGGACGGCATGATACGCCAACGGCTTCTTTTTTATAAGATGCACGGCTTCCGCTCCATCCCAAGCAGCATCAACTCGCTCAAAGTTAAGGGACTTCAATATTTTTAGCATGACAACTTGATTTACCATATTATCCTCCACAAGTAAAAGCTGCTTGCGAGGGGCAATTTTCCTGATATCTTCACAAGGATCTGACGATTCAAGCACCCTCGACCTAGGTGAGGCAGCATCGATGCGACCAAGTTTGATTTTTAACCAAAATATGCTGCCTTGGCAGTCCGGGTTTGTTCGATAGCCCACTGCACCGCCCATAAGCTCTGCTAGGCTTTTGCAGATGGAGAGACCAAGGCCGGTTCCTTGGTAACGTTTGGTCGCCGAGTTGGCGGATCGAGTGAACGGTGCGAAAAGAGTGTTCATTGCTTCATCAGCAACGCCAATACCCGAATCGATGACCTCAACGGTCACAGAGTAGTCATCACGCTCGTCCTCTTTAAAGCATGTCCGAACGTGGATGTATCCTTTGTCTGTAAATTTGACAGCGTTGCCAACAAGATTCTGGAGGATCTGACGAAAGCGAAGAGGATCGCCTTTGACATGACTCGGGAAACCTGGGTCGATAATACTCTTCACCTCTATCTCTGGATTTCTGGGTGGGCAATTTTGGATCACAGAGTTCACGATGCTTTCGACGCTGAAGACATCGGTGGTGAGAGAAAATGAACCGGATGACAACTTTGAATAATCGAGGATGTCATTGATTAACCGGAGGAGTACCGAAGTCGACTCCTCAATTATTGTGGCGTATTCTCGTTGATTCTGCGATAAGGCGGTGCTGTTGAGCAGGGAAAGGGCCCCGAGGACCCCATTCATTGGAGTCCTAATCTCATGGCTCATGTTTGCGAGGAAATCACTTTTCAGCTTCGAGGTCTCCTCATATGCAGCGATGAGGCGGGTTTCTGCAGCTTTTCGTTCGGTCAAGTCACGGACGACTTTGACAAAGCCGACATGGTGGCCAAACTGATGAACTGGCGTTATGGTGACATTGGCCCAAAATCGGGAGCC